CCTCGGGTTCATTCCTGAACCGCCCTTCTCTCTCCCTTTGCTCAGATTTTCTTTTTCTGCTTCAATTTTCTGAAGCACATCACCTCTGAGGAGTTCTCTGCTGTGAAGTCGCAGAGGTAAGGAGTCTGTGCCTGCTGCTGCATGGGCTGCAGAGCCAGGGAGCTTGTTAGTGCTGTTCCTTTGGGGAGATGGAAGCCCTGGTGTCCTGGCCCAGTTTTCTTTAATTTATTCTGCACTCTAAAGGCTGCAAAATGGGGCCGAGGCTTGTGAGGTGCCACATTGTGTTCTGAAAAAACTGTCCATGCTGAAATGTGCTCTCTGCTTAATGACTGTCCGTGGCTGCTTTAGCACGGATGATCCCAGAGATGTGTGCTCTGGCTCAAACAGGCTGCGCAGCAAGCTGCATCAGGTACTGCTGGGGGGAGCAGGGTGGCTGGTTTTTGAAGGACTGCTAAAAATTAACACCTTTCTGAAATTCAGGAGGGGCAGAAAAAAACAAAGCCCACCCTGGTGGCTCTGAATAAGTACTTGTCTGCCCGCAGCCTGCTGCCACCCTCTCAAAGCGCAGGGTGTGTGGGCTGGAACTGTTGAGAGAGTCAGACGCTGCACACCAGCCCCATCCCCTCCCTTCTGCCCCTGCACAGTTAACTCCCCACTGCTCTGATCCGCTGTGTGCTACAGAGATCTGGCTATGGCCAGCCTCCATGCAGCCCTGAAGTGTGGCTGAGGTAACTTTTGTCTGTCTTTCCACAGAAGGAAGAGTTTGCCACCTGGCTTCACCCTGGAAGAGATCTGCATGCTCAGTGAGTGCTGCTGCCAAGCATCAGCACCCCTGGGTGCTGGTAATGGTTGATCTCTTCGGGGCTTGGGTTCCCAGCATCAAGGTGACTACAAATGGATATGCTTCCCTTGGGACCTTACAAGAGCGTCACCCCAGGGCACATGGGAATTGTATTGTTTAAAGGGAGAGAAAGTGAGCAAGACCAAGCTGGTCTTCAGGTAGCTTTGTTTTCTTTTCTCTAGAGCAGAGAGACCGAGGCAGCACCACAAGTCTGAGCAGCGACTTCTCCCTGGGGATGGAAAGTTCCCCTGGAGCAGCTGGGAGCTTCACCTATGAAGCAGTAGAGCTGATGCCAGCAGGAGCACAGGCTCAAGCAGCATGGTGAGGAGATAACTACTCAGTGGGCTGCAGGTCTTCTTGCAGGCAGAACAAAAGGGACAGGCTGTTGAGCACAGTAGAAAAGATATTTCTGAAGTCCCTTGCCCTCCAGGGTCTGCTCTCTGTGGCATGGGTTCGGTACAGTGGAAGGAGAAATCTGGCTATCGGAGGCTTTGCTGCAACTTGTGCTGCAGAACCTATGCACCTAAAATTGGAGACCACGCCATGTTAAAGACTGTCACGCTTCTGCAGGGGTGCTCCTGAAGTTTGTCCCCAATGAGAGTAAAGCAGCTTTGTTTCATTTTTACCAGTTTCACTGTTAAACTTCACCCAGAAAGGATTTCATTACTTCTAAAGGATGGTTCCAAACTACCAGAAAAATGACACTTGTCAGCAGCCCCCCACAAGGGAAAAGTGGAGACACTTTAGCTGCCCTAAAATGAAGCTTAATCAGTTTATGGAAGAGAGACACAGGTTAGTGTCTGCAGTTAGTGGTAGGTGGGCTGGGTGGCCAAGAATCCCCTCTAAACTGTTGCCTCTCTAACAGCACAAGGTGTGTGAGCTGAAAGCAGGTTGCTGGCTGCAGGACTGCTTAGAGATATTTCTGGGGGAAAATAGGAAATTCTCCGTGCTCCCTGTTGATAGAGGGTCATGTAGGACTCTCCCAGGGATGCTGGTGGCTGTCGAAGTGGGGACTGGGGAAGGTGTCTGGCAACTGCTGCTCTGGGACAGGCATTGTGTGTGCTTGTGGAGTTTCTGGTGCTGTTTGGGGATTTCAGAACCCTGCTGTAAGGTTGCCCCTCTTAGTTTAATTTTTCTCTCCTCTCCCTCAGCACATGTGAAGATGCTATTTTATATTGCAATTATTTTAAATTAAACCTGGGCTGTGCTGGAGGCAGTTGGAAGTCCTCTGGGACTGAGCCCACAGCCATGCTAGTGGCAGCAGCCTTTCTAAAGCACATTGTTATTCAATTTATAAAATACTGAAGAAGGGAAGAGAGAATCTTCCTGCAGAATCACAAGATGGAGATGGGAAGTTCCAAACTGCATTTGCCAAGTGAGCAGTGCAGAGTCCTCTTTAACACACAGAGCCTACCTATCTACAGCAAAGCGACTGCAGCAAGTAGAGAACAGCTTCCCACTTGCCTGACTGTACGGTAGTAAACTGGAAGCATTTACATTGTTCTGAGTGCTCGGGACATGCAGACTAGATCCTGCAGCACAAAACCTACACATGATTTTCACAAGATGTGAAGTGGTCAGAGCATGCTGGAAGAGATCTGCATTTGTGTGTATCAGGGCTTGGTTTTGTGATGTATTTTCTAACTCTGGTTTGCTTTCATTCCTGTTGGAGACGTCCGGCTGTGTTGGGGTTAGCTGCTGCTACCGCGGTGATGGTTTGGGCCCGTGCTGTGGGCATGAGCTTGGGAAATGGAAGGCAGTGAGCCTTGCCATGAGTGCTTAGCAAGGGGACTGGGCACGGATGTCTCGCTGCAGGCTGTTGTGGCCGCATAGTCTGGCGAACAGGTGGAGCTTGATACAAGCATAGTGATTGCCGGTGAGCTGGACTGTGCATAGCATGAGGCGGGAGAAGAGGGGATGTACTTCATTTTGTTGTCCTGAAAACAGTGGCCTTGAGGTCTTCTTGCAGGCAGAGACATTCATTTTTCAGCTGTACAAGCCTGTCTCTGCAGGCTGTGATTGGAGATGTTGGCAGCTATGATACCATGAGATGAATAATGCTTGAGAGAGGCTGTGGTGTGATGTTTGAGGGTGGACACACTTCAAGAAGTGAAGAGAGGATATCGTGCTTTCCACCGTACAAAGAGCCTGTCTTTAGCTGCATTTGCTGACAGTGCTGGAGATCTCAGTCAAAGCTGAGGTGCTCTCACAGGTTCCAGGAAGAACAGCATCATTTCTCCTCGAGTTTGTTTGCTTCAGACACTTCCGTTTTCTTGTGTACATAGGGAGGTCTTTGTCCAATTCACTGTGGTTTTGGAAGGGGAAAAATTCTTGGGACTCTTCCAGGAAAAAAAAAAAAATTATGTAAGAAAGAAAATCTTCTGAATGTGGAGCCACAGTAATGTGAATTAGTCCCAAATATGTGTGCCTGCTTGGCATGTAGCTGGATAGTACTGTGAGCTAAGGCCTGATGCAGCAATGGACAGTGAATCATGCCCAAGTCTGAATGTGCTGGCTATAGAAGAAGCTGGAGCAGTTCTGGGCTGTCAGCACAGGCAGCGAGAGGGCTGAAACGCACCTACATCTGGAGTGATTGTCAGCTCTGAGCACATGGTCAGAAGTGTGGTCAGTGGTATCTGAAGAGAATCACTAAAAAGGAAAATAACACTGGTGGTGTGCCCCTGTCACCCTCATCAGTGCATGCAAACGCCCACCTGGGCTGAGCTTCTCTGCTGATACACTTTGTAGAGTTTAGAACAGATTGAAATGGTCTTTCCCTGCTGGGAGGCCTCTTGCTTGAGGCGTTTTTACAGCTAGACTAAACAAAGCAATCACTGTATGTGTGTGGGCTCATACATTCTCCTGTCTTTTGATTTCCAGGTGACGTGGATGGTGATCTATAAAAGAATGGGCTAAGATGGGTTGAGCTCAGTGTACACCTGTCACTGAAAGGTTTCCCGTGATTCATGGTTTCTTGAGCAGGATGAGGGCAGTTTCACTGGGAACAAGAGCTTATAGCTGCTGGGGTAAAATCCAGCCTGTTGTGGAAAGGCTTCCTAGTTGGAGTATGTGGGAAAGACAGCTTTCTCACCCAAGTCCTCCATCCCACAGGAGGAAGAGCTGTGCATCGTCACCACAAGCCGTGCTCTGGAGCAGGGCACAGCAGTCTGAAGACAGGCTGCCTTCCACAGGGATGGTCGAAGTCAAGTCCTCCAGCTCCTCCTCGTCAACCCATTCTGATAACTTCCTGAGGATTGGAAGCAGCCCACTGGAAGTGCCCAGATCCAGGTGAGATGGGATGGAATAGAGCATTTCTCAGCAAAGTGAGTGTCTGGTAAAGGGAGCACAGGGCTGGACTTGTGTGGCTCTGAGAACCCTGGAGCACATGGGTTTGTATCTGTTCCTGTCTAGCCTGACCTTGTGTGAAGTGCTGGCCATTAAACACAAACTCCTGCCTCAGCCCATTTAGAGGAGTGAGGAACTCTGCCGATAACAGCTAGGTGTTTGTTCTGCCTGTCCTCAGCACATGCCTCAACTCCGTGAGCTCTAGCATCTCTGCATCCCGCATGCTTGGAGCTCACAGCACTTTCTCTGTCAAATGCATCCACAGGGGTTTGAAATGGCCATGTTTGTGTGGGGGAGGAAGCCTTTCAAACCAAGCAGATCTCACTCTGCATCTATCCTGTCCCCCTTTCCACTTGCTGACCTTCCTGACACTGCAGGGTGGAAAAACTCTGGGTGCTGGTGGCAAGCAGAGGTAGAATCTGCTGGAAGCAAGCTGTGAGTGCTGTGCTGGCACAAAGGATTTCGCCTGGAAGGCTGTGCGTTCCTGCTGGGCAACTGGGGAATGGGGACCCTGGACCTGAGCCTAATCTCATGCCATAACAAAGGATATTCTGGCACCCTTCTGGAGTCTGATGCTGTGGTAGGGCAAGCAAGTGAGGCTAGGGAAGAAAGAACAGAGCCTGTGAAGCAATCACCATGTGTTTAGGCCGACAGGGGATAAAGAGGCTCTTAGATAAGACGTTGCTGTTAACAGCATCAAACGCTTGTGTAGTCTCTGCAGGTTTTCTGACGAATCTTTTTCTAGTGATTCCCTTCAGAAACAGCCACCAGCCAAATTTTAGTACTCTCTCATCACATGGAAAATAAAATGACAAACAAGTAAAGCATAGAAAATTTGTAAGACTTTTTCTTACCAAGTTTCTTGATTCCAGAGAAAAAGCACTGTCTCACAGTTTTCATAAATGATGCTAACTGTTCTCGTTGGGGAAAGAGATCAATAGGATGTTTTTGAGTTGTTGCTGGGGCTTACCTCTACATTCTCTATGAGATGAAACAAATCTCCCAAGGAGAGAGGAAAATACAGGAGGGAAAGCAGCTTGTCTTGGGAGCTGCTTTTGTTCACAACAGTAATGCCACAATTCCTGTGTGTGGTCTTGTGCCATTCCCAAGACTTGACAGGCTATTCAGCGCTGGGCTGGTAGTGAGCTTGCAGCAATGCTGTGGAAGAAGAGGTTTATAATGCTTCAGCTGGACTCTGGTCTGCAAGAGTGAAGAGGAGAAACAGAGTAGGCAGCAGAGTACTACGGGAAGGGGCTGAGTATGCAGTCCCTGGGATTTGCATTCCAGGAGCTCAGAGTTGGTAAAGCCAGCAATTGTCTTTCCTCTGGCTGTGTGTGGACGAAGTGTCTATAAGCTTTTGGACAATTGGTGCCTGTTGGTGTCAGGTGTTCAGAACCAGCACTCACAGGGCTTGAGGCAGCAGGCAAGTGTGGTGGGGAAGCTTGTTATCTCCAGGCCCAGAGTCCCTGAGGGTGGCTTTTCCCTATGGCAAATAAATATTCCTGCGAAGGAGTTGCAGTATTCTGTCATTGTAAGAGGTCAGTGTTTGAATTCCACTATAAACATTTTTCTGACCTTTATGATAACTTCTACCATTGTACAAAGCCTTTATAACCCTTCAACGTGGCAAGGTTGCACCAGTCCACTCCCAATCCCTGTTAACTTTTGTGAACAAGGCAGTGTGAAAGGCTGAGCTAGAAAAAAGTACATGATGGGGGAATATGGAATAAAAAGGGCTCAAACTCCTGCACAGCCCGGAAGCAAGGGGACGGGAGAAGGGAATCAGTTGTGAAGCCAAAGCAGTGAAAGCAGCTGCACACAAAGATGGTTAGTCTGCTACACTCGTGCTGGGTAGACACTGTACACCTGTGTGCTCTCTATTTCTGGGGTCACCTGGGTTTGCCCTGCTCTTCTTGGGGTGTAGGCTGGAGGAAATAAGCCTAGAGACCCTGCAAGGAGTGGGTGGAATTGTCAAGGCAACAGCTGAACTGAGCTTCTCTTTCAAACCAAGTCTTCTGGTACATTCATGCTACTTTGCCTCTTAGTCCATTGCCAGATCAGTCACTGTGCCCTGCCTGCCTTCTGTGGGGTAACACTGCTAACAGCTCTGCTAGCTAAGGCCTCGAACAATGCGTTGCCTTGTCAGACGCTGACATGGCTTGCACTCCTTGGGCCCTGAACATGATAGGTATTCTCCAGAGAGAGGGGTTATGTCACTCCACTTGGCTTTGGTCTCCCTGCTTGTACTATGTTAGGCTGAATTTGTCTGGTGACCTCCATGCAGGTAATGGATATCACAGTACCTTCAGCCACCATTTTTGCACCCTGAAGGAAGAGTGCCATTTTGGGTGGAGGAGGAGTGTATCTGTGAGGGAAGAAAGAGGTAAATTCTGTCCCTTCACCCCCTGAAAAATGATGGGACTAGGATGGAGAGGCTGGAGCACAGAGACTGATCAGGATGCCAAAAATACCTTTGTCTCTACAGTGCTGCTGGCAGGTTAACACCCAAGGCTCTTAAGATGAAGAAACTACTGTACTTCCTAATCCTCTGGTTGTGTGGCTATAGCAACAAAACACTTAACCACTGCAGCAGCAGTTGAGGAAAAATGGTTGCTTGTAAAATGTCAGCAGGCACCCTTCAGGCAGTTCAGGTAAACAGCCCAGTCCATGTGCTGGCAGGCACAGGAGCTCCAGAAGGAATGGGAAGGCAAGCTGGCAGAGAGACATGAGCAAGCAGGGCCTGGGAGGGGAATTGGGGTGTCCTAAAGGAAGGAGTCACAAATGCCGAGTGGGAGCCAAGCCCCTCTTCCAGTGGTGTCATGTCAGCAGTGTGCTGCTGCCATCGCCTCACCAGCCCATCTTCCAAGTTCTGCTCTGATCCAGAGGTCCTGGGTGTCCGTAAATCCTGGGATGGTTCTTGTTAAGCAAAGCAGTACAAAGGCAAATTCCTAGCAGTCTTTCTAGCTTATCCCAATGCAATGGTAAGATCACATCTGCTGAGGGCAAACATGCATAAAGATACTGTATAGATTATTCGCAGAGTAGGACAAGGGGGGATACTCTGTTCTACAGAGAGCTCTGAGTATGGCTGATAGCGTGCACTGAATCAAATTCCCTGCGTGCAAGTGGATAGCAGCTTGTAAACCACGTTCTGTGTTTGCATTTGACACTAATAGTCTAAGTGTCCCATGACACTACAGAAAAACCCTGTATCTGTGTCAGGGATTTAGCGTGTGTGCACATAGCACTAATGTGGATTAGCAGCTGGATAATCTTTGGTTGAATGTGCTTTTGCTAAGTCAATTAAACAAAACCCACAGTACCACGATCTGAAGAGTCAAGATCTGCAGGAGTTCAGTTGTGGAGGATCTGCTTTGGTCAACAGTCACAGAGAACTGCCTTACTTAAAGGGCTGCAGGCAGTTCCAGTGCGGGTCTGGAGGGAGTGCAGTGAGCGCAGAGGGGGACAGAGAAGCTGCTGTCCTTTGGCTTTGGGTGTTTTGTTGGCAGTGGTAAGACTGCATGTGCACCATGTGTCTTGCTCCTTACAGCCGCCTGGCTTGGAAGCTGTACCTGCGATGTGACTACTTGGGATAGCTACCACAGCAGGATAGGAATTGTTTACAGGAATGTTTACTGGAATTACTACATGACTATGCCACAAAATGTGCTTGCTGGCTGGCACGTGGCTGTGCCGCAATCAAAAGCGGCTGTGCTCACAGAGGACTGGCTGCTCAGGCTGTTAAGGCACTAACACAGCCTGTAGATAGCTGCCTGGGATTCAGCCAGGGCGCTCAGTACAGCTCTCTGCCAAGTACTCCTTGCCAGCGTTTCCCACGCAAAGGTAGGAAGGGCTGCCCTTTACTCCAGGTTACCGCAGTCTGTCTGCATGTACAGTACCTACTTAACGTTTCAATTTGAGGCACAGAGTATATGCTGGCAAATGAGCTGCTTCCCAGGTAGTCCTAGGTGTGTAGAAATATGGCAGGTGAGTGGAGGTAGCACAGGGCAGAATGAGAGCCTAGCTGCTGGGCACTTGGCACTCGCCTCAGTTACATATTAAGGAAGGGAAGGATCCCTGACTGTTGCTCTGCCACCAGTATTGGCTCTCCTTGGGTAAGCAAGTGTCCGTGTGCTCTGAAATACTCTATCTTGTGCAGCATGTTGCATGGGAAGCACTGACCTAATTAATAGGAACCATTCCAGGCTAGGAGTTGCCAGTTTATGGTCTGTGAGGGGTCCTTCCTTGTGTGAAGGAACAGCTTGCAGCTCATCTCTGTTTTGCTAATCTAATTTTGTTAATCTTGCACTTTTGAGGGAGTTTCTTCCCACTCGTGGACCTGAAGAGGTGGGTGTGTGAAGCTCACTTTCATTCTCTTTCTGTCTGCTATTAGATGTCTGTGGCAGCGACAGCAACTTGAAGACTTGCTGTATCTCATCTTTCCTAACTGCATCGGCTTTGCTGTAGTCGTCCGGCTGCTTCCCAAGACCCTCCACACTGCCCTTGCAGCTAGCCAGCCTCTGGCACGGCTGTAATGTATTGCAAACCTGTTGTTCTTGCAGGCTTGGGGACTGGTCCTGGTGCCCCAGCAGCCCCAACTTGCTCTGGGGGCCTCACTGAAGTCCTTTGTGGGCCTCTGCAGCAAGACTTTACAAGGAACCTTCAGGGATAGAAATCACAGGAAGACTTTCACCTCTAGCATTGACTGGATTGCACTGGGATACAGTCACCGTAGAGATCTGATCTTGGTCTCAAGCCAAGCTCAGCTTTTAAGAAGCTCCGCTGCCCTGGCAGTGCAAACACAAGATTTCCCATGCCCTGCCTTCCCTGCAGGAAGATGCATGTTGGTTTTGACACTTCCTCAGGAGCCTGCCTTGGGAAGGCATTGGGGATAGAGGGGAAAGTGTGCTACAGTGTCTCAGTTCTGCTGGCTGGGCTCAGATATCTAAGCCAGGAGAGAGAGATGACCTGGACTCATTGCAGAGTCAATCAGTTTATTCAATTAATTGACAAGTGTTTATTCTGTTGCCTGGAGGTGAGAGACAGAATTGACTGCCTTAAACTCTTAGACTCCTGTGCTATTAGGTTAGATGTGATTTGACTAATTCGTAGCTGCCTGGAGCAGCACCTGCCGTGTGGATGGACTCAGTCAAGCAATCTCTGGGGCCTGTACTTTGGGATCAGGTTCCCTGTTGTTGCAAGTGGATCAAAGACAAGCGACAGGGAGTCTGGGAACACATGGGCCTTTATGCAGGGCCAGTCACAGAGCCCCATGTCCTACACACCTGCCCTTCTCTGCAGTGTGGCCAGCACTGAGAAGGAATGGGCCTGTTTGCGTAATGTTTCAGCATTGCCAGGTTTGCACATGGCTGCTTGACAGGGTCAGGCATGGGTTAGAGAGCCACTGAGAGTCAGTCTTGCAGAAGGTGTGCGATGCTTTTATCAGCCTGTCCAAGAAAGGATTCAAGAGGTGACTTGATCCACCCCTCAGAGGTGGTATAAGGTCAGTCTAATCTCAGCTGACAACCATGGAAGCCACACACCTGATGCAGGAAACAATTTTCTGCTCACCTTCTTTAACACAGACTTATCTGACCAGTGTGGTTGATGATGCTGGGCAGAGAGACATTTTTACTGTCCCTGGTGCCCTGGATCATGTCTTGTTCCTTCACTTGCCCTATGGGCAGAGTCTCCCAGGCAGGCTGCTGAAACTATGCTCTCCCTTTGCAAGAACTGCAGAGCTCTGTTCAGTTCTCTTTACCTGGAGATCCTGCCATATCCCAAGCCCTCCTCTGCCATCTAGACTTGCCCTCTTCAAAACCTTTGTTTCTGCCTAGTCCCAAACCTATCTTCTGGCAACTCATTATTCTTTTCTGGCAGGAATGATGTCCCTGTCTACTTTACCTCTGCCAAAGCCCTCTATAGACCTCTTCCCTGCTTTAGCTCAAATTCTTGTCCCTTTGTGTGACACTCCCACTTTTCCTGCCTGGCTGTGCTGTACTCTCAGGGAGGTGACACCCTCCTCTTCCCTCTGTACTGAAGCAATGTTCCTCTACGCTTCTCGTATGCTTCTCCCTGGCTTCCTGCACTGTTCCTACTGTGCTTCTAGCATGACACCATACTCTGGGCCCAAACGCTCTGCCTCCTCTCCTCCCTCATGCTGACTTCCTCTGCTTTATCTTGGGAGGGAGGTCGATGTCACTGAACAGCTGTTCCCTTTATGAATTCCTTGCATCCCAGGAAAGGTTAACCCTGTCTGATCTCCAGAAGGTCTTTCTAAGAGTATGTGCTGCAGTTCTGCTTTCAGTGACATGCCCTTATTCTGTCTGCAGTGTTACATGCTCTAGGAAAAAGACCTTTTGCAAGAACAGGTTCTCCCAATATTTTACATTCACGGCACCTCTCTGAACCTCATTCCTCAGTTCATCGAGCAGCCAGAGAACAAGAGCTATGCATGGCAAGTGAAGCTCTGCTCCTCCCATTTGTTGCTGTGATGCCCTTCCAGAGCCTGAACTTCCAGACAGCGGTGTTACCCTCAAACTGCAGCTGCGGGAGTGTCACCACTGTGATGCGAAGCTGACATGCAAGGAGCTGTGTGACTTCCCCTTCTCCGCTTGTGCAGCCAGCTCAGGACCACGTTTCAGACTTCTCAAACTTGGCCGTATTGATCAGGCTAGTTAAATGGCAGGCTTGGAATTAGATTGAGATTGCAAATAGGTTTCTTGCTGTGCATCTCCCTGCACCCTCACCTTCCAGTCTCGCTGAGGTCCTTCTTGCTGTGGGAGATGCTGTCTTTCTAGCTGTTCTCCTGGTCTCTTGGGGAGCAGCTGCAGTGCGCCACTGCTATTCTTAGCTGTGAAGACAGCGTGCAAGTACCTGGCCCAGCAGAGCTGGAGCTGGTGCACTGCTATCTGCCCAGCAGATCTCAGATAAATTATCCAGAAGATCTTGGTAGTGTGTAATTGAGTAGCTCTGCCACAGGCTGTGCTTCCAGCTACGTACACTCCACTGTGCAGCGGGGCACAGTAATTGCTTGCTCCATGGAACCCAAGAGCTCTGGGTTTGTCTCAAGTGATTGTGCCCTCTTCTCTGAGATTTTGGAGGAACTCAGATTGACTTATCAGATTTCGTGCTCCCCCCTTTCCTGGTGGGAGGCTGCATACATCAAACAATTATCATTCCTTGGCTATTTTTCCTGTCCCAAAGATGTTTTGCTACCTGGCTTCTGGCACAGTCCATTCTTCTAACACAGGAATTAAAAGATCTTCAGATGCTGGCGGGAGGGGGTGCCCTGGGGATGTCTCAAGCAGTGACTGGCTCTGTTCAGATCTGGTGTTAATGCCTCAGGAGTGATCTGCTTTCTAACGGCTGCCAGACCAAGGATCTCTAAGTCTTCCTCAGCACTAACCAAGTCACAACCTTGATTCTCTGTCAGGCCTTGCCACTGCCCTGCGATGTGCTAACAGGTACAACAAGCAACAGGGGGATGTCGCTTGTACAGCACGACGTCCACATCTGTGAGGGATCCGGGGCAGGACACGCCATTGCATCTCGCTAACAGGTTTCACGGTTCTGCATGGCCATCTGCTTCTTGCTGGCTCTGTCCTGTCCGGCTCCTGGTGTGCTCCTGCTGCTTTGTCAGCCCTAGTCAGCTTGGCTCTTCCCTTGCTTTCAAAGGAAAGGCTTGGCCTGGGACCCAGCCAGAGCTGCATGTTGCACCCTGGTCCCAAGAGTGTCAAAGCTGCTGGCACAGGCGCTGCTGGCAGTCAGCCTGGCAGGTCCCTGGCACCAGCGATAGTGAAAGGCATGCGGCTGAATGACCTGACTGATTGCGCCGTCTCCCTCTCTCTCTGCCCCAGATCGGCGGACCATTCTCTGCCCGGATCTTCCGTTTCCACAGACTTTGGCAGCTGGCAGATGGTGACAGGGTGTGGCAGTATTCGGGAGCAGGCAATCCTGAGCGCAGACGCCTCTCTCCCTTGCAGCTTCCCGGATGAGTTCCCTAGCACTTGTCTGTAAGTGTCTCAAATGCAGGATCTCTCCTTGGGTCTCTCGGCTGGCTGTGAGCACTGGAACTTTATCACCCTGGTACTTTTGAAGAAGCCTGGGAGCCCATAACAAGCTGTCCCGTCTTTCCTGCCTTGATGCTTTCCATCCACAAATGGAGTCACTGAGCACTCTTTGCTTATGCTGAACTTGGAAAGAAACGGGCATTTTCTCTGCCGAATGACAGGGAGGCGCTTTGCTTCTTGTAGGAAGAAGAGGTTTTTCTCTCTACCCTGAAGATGCTGAATTTGGGCATAATTGAGTGCATTTGAGGATGCATGTTTGTCAGGACAGGATGGGTAACCCAGATTTTCTTGCTTTTGGATCTTGCTCATCTCCATCTCCTTGCTGGGGTCAGAGTCTTGCCGCAGTAAGAGAGGGGCTTTCCTTCTGTCACCCCGATTTTTTGTCTGACCACATGCAGCATCATTTGCAGGTGCTGCGTCTAGCCAGTGCGGAGCAGCAGAGACCCTGCATCTTGCTGTGTAAAATGGCTGGGAGGCAAATGTTCCTCCTCAAATAGAAAGCCATCTCTGTGGAAGCTTGAAAGACAGGAGATGCGCTTTAATTGCTGTTAGAGGAGAACCTTGGCTTGTGCCTTCAGGCTGCAAACTCTCCATCAAGAAACTGAAATGGCAGATCAGGATCTGCTGCTAGCTGGCTGTGCTGGAGCTGTGCTGCCAAACGCTTGTGCTCCCTTACTGAGATCGGAGTACGTGCTTCGGAGGCAGAGGGCAAGCGATGTGATAAACCAATGTCTCCTGTGAGGCAGGCTAGCTGCCCTGCTTCGCCTTCTCATGTGGCTGTGTGCTGTGCTGCTGAGCAGGGCAGCCACTTCCAAGTTATGATTAAGCTGCAAGACCCATGAATTGGCAGATTGAAGAATTGCAAGGGATGTCAGATGTGGCCTGGCTGGGATTTGCTCTCCTCCTTTCATGAGGACACGCTGTGCTGCTGCCATAGTTGTTTGGAGATTGTTGAAGGAGTAGAAAGGACTGAAGGATGGGCCACTGCAGTAGTGTTTTCTGTGCCCTAAACCTGGCTGTGCTTGGTGGCTACTGATCACCAGCAAGTTGTTGCTGCCCTTCTTGGAGTTGGATCTAATGTCAGAATAGGGAATTCCGTAGAGAGAAATGTGATTTGAAGTTGAGCTCTAAATCTGCCAATTGGAGTCAGGCTGCTTGGGACAGCCCAGTTCAAAGGGAGGGGAACAGCAGTGGTGCTTCTCACTTGGGCATGCAGCAGATGCTCTAAGTGCTTTGCCCTGTTCAACTCTTCACTGGAGCTGCAGGGTGCTCGGGGGCTGGGGACCGCTCGACTGTGCGTGCTGGAACCAGGCACTGCTTAGAAAGCATGAAGAGTTCCAAAGGATGTTGTGTTGAGCTTGACCCAAGGCCTCCCCTCTCTCTCTGCTCTGCATCAGCTCTGTTTGCTCAGAAGCCCATTGTGGTTTTATCCCAGTTTTTTGCAACACAGTATGAGTTTTTAGAAAATTAAATTCCATTTAAGTTCCCACTTTACATCTCAGCTGGCAGCAGCTTGATGAAGGTATGCTTTTCACAGCCTACTTCTTGTGCTTGTGTGGGGCTTGTCAGGGCTTACTTTGAGCTGGGGCTTTGACAGCCTACTCTCATCCTGCACCCCAGGCTGCAGAGGAGCGGGCAGGCTGTAGGAAGTGTCGCAGGGCAGAGCGCCGTGGATTTGGCAAGGAAGCGTGGCCTGTCTCCCTGGTTGAACTGCTCGGAGTGAAATGGTGCAGCTGGTCTGCAGGGCCTGGTGTTGGGCAGTAGCTAGATGCTTTACCCTGTGCCTTGGGGTGTCTTGCTCCATAAAAGAAACCTAAAAATCTAAATACAAAAATCTGCCCTGTAAAGAGGTGCGAGAGCCAGAAGATGAGGGACCTAACTGCTGCACGCCCTTGCTTACCTCTGTGTGTGATCACTGTGCTCAGGTGCAAGTAAGTCCTGCTTTAATGTAGCTTATTTTTAATGCGAGCAGGTTTGTGAGTTCCATGTCCTAATTAGGTTGCCAAAAAAGCATCTTTTTAATGTGTTTAGATATGTTGCCTTTTTCCTTTGCCCTCTGGCTTCTCTTTATTATCAGACACTGTAAACAGCGGCCTGGTTGGCTGCCTCGGCATCGCTTGCTGTTTATAGGCCTCCCACCATATCCTCTTGCTGCTGTTTCCGGACCAAAGCTGTTGGCTGTGGGTGGTTAACACTTCCATTCAAATGAGCTGTGCCAATTTATAGCCAGCCCAGGCGCTGGAGAGATTAAAGAGAATATTTTATGGGGAAGGTTTGTGCTGTGCCCTTGGAGTGACCTTTGAGGAATGTCTTACTCTCTCTGGGAACCACTGGCACATTGCAGAGGCGCCAGGGCAAGGACTGTTTCAGGCTGGGGCGCTTGGAACAGCTGCCTCTGAACCCTAGTCTTGCTTTCCTCTGCCTCCTCAACTGAAATACTGCCTTCCCTCTGCTCTCTTCCCCCCACCCCTACCCAGGTGTGTGGATCAGCTGGAGAGGAGAGCAGGTCCCAGGGGAAGCCATGCCCTACTCCGCACGCAGCCTTCCTGCTTGCAGAGAGCAGCCGTGCTGGCAAGCAGAAGTAAAACGCCACTCAGCTCTCCTCTTTCCATGGCTGGAGCACTCCTTTGGGGCTTTTCTCACCTTGTCTGCTCCCTCTTATTCCCCATTCCACAAAGCTGTCTGTGCTGGCATAAGTGCCAGAGGCTGGGGCCGGTCCGAGGGATGATTGCAAATAGATTGGAAAGCGACTGTCTGGGAATGGCACATGTGGACAGGCTCCATCTGGGACTGCTGTGCAGGGAGGGGAGGGAGCTGGCCCAGGAGCAGACGTCAGCACTTTCTGTATGAACTGGATCCTCGTAAGCACTGTGGTGGTGGGAAAAACTGGGGGGGGTGGTGAAGGAGAAGACACAGGGGGGAGCAGGAGGCCGGGGCCATGAGGGG